GGACATATCCTGGTCAAAAATGACTCCAAGGTTCCTCACAGTGTTACTGGAGGCCAAGGTAATGCCATCCAGAGTAAGAATCTGGTTAGATACCATATTACAAATGACAGTAATCACAGCAGGACATGGTACATATCACATGATTAGCTTTCAGTGCTACAAAGCACAATCCTAGTGACTGATAAATGTTCAAAGGGCTCTAAAGTGTGCATCCATCCAGAGTCACATGTCTGTTGTGTTTGCCTCTGAGATGGATGGTTTGAACAGACAAAAGAAAATCAAAGGAATATCGGCAGAAACTCGGAATGAAAGCAAGCACGTCAAACCAGACTGATCATTATCTTTAAATGCATATTTGTTTGAATCAAAGGAACAGATTGACAACTGAAGCCCCCTAAGGGCAATTTTTTATCCAAAATACACATATAAAGCACACATTTTGTTTCTGTATGTGGAGTTAGTGATAGCTGGATTATCTTAAGTATCCCGTAAAGCTATGACAGAAATATGGGATGCACAAACTCTGACAATTCAAAATATCTGCAGTGTTTAGTGACTAAAAGAAATGATCTAAGGTTATATTTGAAGTTCTCTGTTCAATGTCCAGGGACACTATACCATCATGCATTGTGATGAACAAAAAAGTAACAGACGGATGAGAGGAAGCAGCAAAACAACCTCAACTGATGACGCTTAAAGTAGTTTTTTTTTTATTACTTATATAAAAAAGTAACTGTTTATTCGTTTTAATCTGTCATATTTCATTTGTGTGGCAGAAATAACATAATAATAGTGCAGGAATAACAACCTATTTCTGTATGTAGGAAAGAGGGGATAAGGATTGATTTGGGAAGCAAGGCATTTGTCTGCTGTCAAAATGAAGATTAAACTGCAGAAATTCAGTCACTTACATATTTAGGAAACATAAATATGCTGTGTTTTCTCAGCTTTGAAATTGTTTTAAAACTATTTTGGAATCGGATCAATTCAAAACAACATTGTAGGATGGCGACATAACACTTTTTGAAATATTCTAGTCTCGGAGACTTCCAAACTTTCCAGATCTGATGACTTCATGATAATTTAGCCAAGAAAGTTTGCAAAATCAATGCAAGTACTGGAACTTCTTGTGCAATGGAAGCCAGCGCCCTCTGCTGGACAAGTACTAGAAATTTGTTCTTGACTGGACCTTTTTCATCGGTGACATTCTAACTCTAGTTTGATGGAAAAGATTGTGTGCAAAGAGGGAAGAAAACTGACTGGCTTCTAATAACTTCATGGACAGCAGGGCCAGCAATCTTTTACACTTCTAGTCAAGCGTGTCTAGATGCAAACTCTCTATGAATCTTATCCAACTATGCAAAATTATTGCTTCTAATAACGTAAAAATGCAGAAAATCCAACATGACACAAACAAGCAATGGTATGTTGATGTCATTTGGTCGATCAATCAATGGAAGTTGATTTTAAGTCACAGTCAAAGATCAGTGCTACACACTGACTATGGCCAATTTAAAATCACATAGAGAGATAAATATATCCTTTTTGGAGTCTTAATGGTGTAAAACTGATCCACTGATTTGCAGTTCAGCAGGGTGTAGTGTCTTTCAGGTCTAAATACAGAGCAGACCTCCTAATGTTACACATTTGATGAGTAACTATAAAGGGAATCCAGCTTCTCAGTGCATAAGTTACTTCTGCAAATATGGGTGCTTAATAAAAGGGGTCACACTGATGGGCTGCTTACAACATTAAGAGTTGTGAGACCTTACAGCTGATATTAATATACTAATATCCAAAATGCATTTTGTTGGTTTCTGATTAAATAACTTCCCTGTCTTCTCACCGTCCAGATATTGCCGACTTCTTAATGATATGCCATCTCTGTCTGTCAGTCTAAAGCATTTCCCATGCACAAGAATCCTGACAGCGAAAACAGGCGACCTCTGAGCCTCAGGAGAAGTGGAGAAGCATTTCTGTCGGGGGGATGAAAAGAGGGACAGGAGGATGAAGGGGCAAGCTGCTCAGTAACCTCGGGCCTTGAGGCTATCGGCTTTTCATTAGCGAGTCAGTGAGTGAGTGAATGAGCGCAATCGTTGGAATGGTAAAACAGGAGAAGCCGTGCTGGGCCACGTCGGCTATTAGGGTGATTTGGGGGCTCCCACTGACTCCCATTGTGCATTGTCTCCAGAGTGAGCAAATGAGGCCCAACAGTAAGCCTTTGTGTGGGACATTTAACTGCCGTTTAGCATGCTAATTATGGGAAATGTGTGTTTCTCTGTGTGCCAGCAAGTATCCATCATGTTCTGGTCTCTTCCATCTCTCTCCTGGGATTTACACTCTTCCAGCTCCTCTCTGTCTCCGTTTTCTATCTTTCCCCAAGGCACCAAACCCCACTGATCTCAGAGTCACTGCCTGACCCCGGTTGAAGCTCCTTTCCTGTTGTGTCCGTCTTCTTCATTTTCTCTCTTCATTCCTAATCCTCTTCTTTTTCCCCCTCAGTGTTATTTATTTTTTACTTATCAGCTGTTTCTGATTATGCCATGCTTGGATTCGTTTCGTTTTCGCTCGATCGTTCAAACATTAAGCCTCTCTGTATAGGACATTATCCTCACATTTAGCCACGGAAAATTTCATCTTCAGACATGCCCTTCTTTGATGACTCCTTCTGAAAAGTTTAGCCTGCGCTTCCTCTGTATTTCTTTTTATGCATTATAGGTGTATAACTCCAGATTCCCAAATTATTTTGGCCTAAGAATTCCAAAAATGACGATGACAAACACATTTTCAAGATATATTTTTTCTTTTAAACACATGAAAATCCAATCAAAATCTTAACCATTGGATATTCTTATTTCAGCATTTCAGTAAGGCTTGCATTTTTATATATATATAATATTATGTACGATGGACGTAGCTTCCGGGTAATGTGGAATCTGCATTCTTTCTAATGCCCAGAAGTGGGCGACACATGTGGCTACATAAAGCTGTCTGATTCTATAGAAGTCTATGAGAAGATGTCCCTACTTCTTACTTGATTTATGACTTTAGTAAACACGTTTCAGTCTCAATCGGTACCTGTAAGTCACACTCAAGACAAGATTATGTTTATTTTGTAAATAAAGCTCTAATTGTTTATGTCAGGATCATAAATTATTAGCAAAAGTTTAACAAAAGTATCGCCTAAACTGTTTAGGAATGACATACAAGTTCCCACATTTTCAGAGACTCAAACATAACTGAACAATTGACTGACAAACAGTTTCATGATCAGGTCAGGCGCTCATTTTATTCAGTGACAAATTACGCTGCTTAAAGTGCTGGATTCCAAGTTATGATCTTTCATTAGGGTCACTGAAATCTTTAAATATGAGGTCCAAAGAAATGTCGATGTAAATGAAGGAGGTC